GCTGGGCTCCTGGAGGCAGGGCTGTGCGCGGAGACGTGATGACCCCGCAGAACCGGAGAGACGGAGAGTTAGTCCTCCCCGGCGTCCGGATCGGAGTGCAGGGGGCAGTGGGGCGTGTCCTTGTCCCCGCGTGACTTCTGGAATGCCAGTCTCCGTCAGAGACATCTCGGTAGTCATCTCTTCGGAGCAAGGATCAGCCCTGAACGCTCCTGGGCGGATGGCCGCCTGTCCAGCCTGTGCGGGAGCCAGCCGGGGTGGCATCTCCTCGCCATCGCGGGTGCGCACTGTCCCTGCTGGTTCCTTGTTTTCCTCGCTGGCTGGGGCAGAAGAGGCTGTCCTGTAACCTCCCCCATCTGGTCTCTACTCAGAACAGGAGACACTGCTCGTTCTTTCCCAGCCTGCGCACCCGCGGATGCTTTCCGGGCACCCTCAGCTCTGCGCGCCCAGCCCTCTTCTCCCTCACTGGCTGCCACAGCCCGCGCTGAGCCGGTCCCCCGCGAGCCGCCCACAGCCTGTTCCCGGCTCTGCGGGCGCCGTGCGGCCCTGCGGGCGCCGTGCGTGCTCTGGGAGGGCGCCCCTGCTCCTCCGCCTGCCCGGTGCGGCTGGCCTGGGGGCATTTGCTGTCGCAGCCGGGCAGTGCTGTGGGTCAGGCCTCCTCCGCTTGCAGTCTGCAGCCGGCCGGATGCGGGCACCCGCGGCGGGCGGCGTGATGGGGCTGTTGCTGTCCTCAGCCCGCATTCAGCCTGTGGGAATAACCATTCCTCGTCGTTCCTGATCTGCATTCACTGTTTCCCTCCGTCTCCCAACCTTCCGGAGCAGAGGCTTTGCTGAGCTTTCCCGGTTTGCTCCCTGACGAGGCCGGCAAGGACAAGGCCCAGGTGCCACTGTAGACATCCCTCTAGCCTTTCCGTTAAGTGCGGCTGTGCAGGCAGGTCTGGTTTGACCTACTTTTGGTTTGTTGTTTAAAAGCCGTGTTTATCTGGGCCTACCCGTGCGTGTAGTTAGGATGGCTGGATCCAGCGTGGTGGACTGTGCAGTTCGAGAAACACGCAGGGTGCATGTGTATGTGTGCCCAGAATTCTGAAAGGAGGGGGTGGAGAGGAGGGACTGTGGTGTGGCCATTCCTCACCGAGGTCGCCCCCACTCGTTTTCTCCCTCCTCCTCACATGCCCTCTGGCAAAAGGCTTTTTTAAAGTCTTTTTTCTTTTTTTTAAGTTTCATTTTCCGTTTCTTCCATGAGAGAGAGTGGGGGGCATTTTTAGCAGGGTTCTCACGCTGAGACCCATCCCATCCCAGCCGGCCCAGACCTGGGCACACTGGCACGTGGGTGTGCCTGGCGAGTTCTGGGCAGCCCCAGTGAGGCCAGCCCCAGGACACATGCCCAGGAGCCTCCCCCTGGGGGTGCTTCCTCCCTGAGTGCACGGGCTACGGCTTTCTCCCGGCTCTGACTAGGCCTTGCCGGGTGAATTTGCTGTAGTCCGGTTACCGAGGTGCGGCTGTGCATGGGAAGGGCCGTGAGCACCATGGGTCCTGTCTGTGTGCCTGCTAGTGTCACCCACAGCCGGCAGGGTTTCGGCCGCCTGTCTCCCCGGTCCCCCTCCTGGCCAGTCCTCCGTCACCGTGGACCTGTCTGGTCTGTTTTCGACCTTCGCATCACTGTGGCCACTCTGTGCGCTCTTTCAGCCTGACCTATTCTGCTCAGTGTTACGTTTATGAAAGACACCCGTGTTCGTTACTGTGGTTGCTCTCGTGTGCCGCTCCACATTGTGAGCACCCCACAGCATGTTTATCCATTCTGTTCAAACACGTGGGGTGTGTCCCGCTCAGGGAGGCTACGGTAACTGCTGTGAACATCCTACGGAAGTCTTCAGGAGACGTGAGCATGTCTGTAGGGACGTGGAGGAGGGGAGCTGCTGAGTCACAGGGTGGACACATGCTTAACCTGAGCAGACAGTGCCCGCCAAACAGTCCCCAAGGGGGTGATGTTTATACCCCCCAAGGCAACATGCCAAAGTTCCAATTGTTCTTATTTTAACATTAAAAAAATATTTATTTAATTTCATTTATCATTACTATTGTTTTTCATTTTCTACAGTGCACGTGCACTCAGCAGAGAGACACAGAGGGAGAAAGTGAGAAAGCAGGCCACCGGGTGGCTTGTGGGATTGTGGGGGCCTAGCGCCTTCACCACAGCACCTGCGGCCCCCCAATTGCTTTTACTTTTGCCAGCAGTTGATATTGGCCATGTCTGCTTCATTTTAGCCATTTTGGTGGGTAGGTGGTGTTAAATACATCACAATGACCCATAAACTTTTTTTTTTTTTGAAGGTTTTTGCCCCAGGACATGAGTACTCGCCAGAGAGAGAGAGATGCTGAGAAGGGACTGTGAGAAATCACCCCCTGGGAGGGATGGCCACACTGCAATCCTTTCTTCTCCACTCTCCTCCTGGGATTTTGGGCATGCACACACACACCCCCGGCATGATTTTCAAGTTGCCGGGCCCGGGACTCAAACCAGGTAGGCCATGTGGGAGTCCACCGCCTTAACCACCTCCCCACGTGCTGGTCCCAGCAATGATCCATGACCCGTAATTGTGATCTTTAATTTGCATGACAACCAAGTTTTCTGAGGGCCTGCAAAGACTGCAGAAGTCACCTGTAGCACAGTGAGTGGCAGGTGGAGTCCCGGAGCCATCTGACCAAGGGTCTGTGGACAGCACTGGAGCTGGGCTTTGGCCCTGAGCCTGCCCAGACGGTCCAGACCCCGCTGGCACCACCTTGATCCTCACTCTCGAGCCTGAAATGTCGCTGGGATGGCACATTGCCGCTCTAAAGTAGAAAAGGAAGTGGGTTTCGTGGCCGGCTGGTGGCAGCTCAGGTGAGCAGGATCCATTGTGTCTTTCTCTCCTCCCTAGATCTGTCCCCTGCAGACTCTGACCTTCTTCAAGGGGAACGTAACCCACTCCCACCGGCCAGTTTCCAGGTGAGTTGGAATTTCCTAAAATATCCTTTCTGGGATTGTGTACTTTTTTGCGTGGGATCCATTTACCTAAAACCACTGTTAGCAATTCCTGCCGGGCTCTATCTAAGTGATATTCTTCCTGCTCTGCCACCCGAGCTGTACATGACAGGGTCCCTACCTCCCTCCTGCTTAGTAGTTCACACACTCCAAGGGCGAGAGAGCAAAAGCAGTGCCACACGTGGCCCTACACGTGGACACATGGACAGGCCAAGCAGGCCGGGGAGGACCCCGATGCACTCTAGCTGAAAGTAGAGCTGTGCCATTTTTTGGTGAGAAGACAAAGTGTCCTATAGCAAAAGTCTCTCTCTACAAAAGAAAACCTGATAATTGGGAACTTCGATTAAAAAAACAAAGTAACAGTTGTACCTCCAGCCCTTCTTTTCAGACTTACTCTTCTTAGACTCCTTCCCTTCATCCTCCTCCCTCCTCCTTCCCCACTTCCTTCCTGTCCCACTGCTTGGTCTTCTTAGCAAATGGGCACTGTCTGCTTCCAGCTAAAGCACATCCGGGTCCTCCTGGGTGTCACTTCACTTTTTCTTGAAGTCGACCCTGACAACTGCACGCGGTGAAAGTGCACAGTTCGATAACGCTGACGTGTGAGTGCTCACGACGCCGTGACCACGGTCAGGTACCGAGTCACTGCAGCTGTGGTCCGGAAACATGCTTTGTGTAGCCTGGGTCTGTCTAAATTTGTGTTGTGCCTAGAATACGGTTCATGAAGGTAAGTGATCAGGAGCGCCGTTGCTGGGTGTCCCACAGACCCGGCTGCTTCCTGTCTCTGGTGCAGTTGCCAGGCAGGGCTGGCTGGAGTACACAGTGGCCCAGCAGGCCCGCATTCCTCTGCAGCTCCGGGCACGGTGGTCGCGGTCGCCGGCTCCTGCGGGCCCTGTGCCCCTTGCCTTGTTTCCCCTCTGTCCCCCGGCAACGTGGCTCCCAACTTTCGGGGTTTGGGACACACATGCCTGTGTGCTCAGTGTATTTCTCAAGCCACCAAGTCCGGGCCTCAAACCACACAGCCATCCCCGTGGGCTCTGGCTGACTTCACCACCACGTCATGGAACCCACCTACTCTCTCTCCTCGTGAGTTTTTTTTTTTTTTTTTTTTTCCTATAGTTTCATTTTGGTCTTTGAAGTTACTCATTTTCTTTTCTTCAATGACTAATCTGCTTCTAATACTATGCAGTGTATTTTTAATCTCAGAGCAGTCTCATTTTAGCTCTAGAGGTTCCATTTGAGTATATTATTATTATTATTAATTTTTTTAGGTTCTAGTTACAGGGTATGTGTGCTCACTGGAGAGACAGTGAGAAGAAAAGTGAGATATCACTCCCTGGGGGATGCACATGACCATCTCTTACTCTCCATTCTCCTCCTGGATTTTGTGTACGCATGCACACCTGGTGTGAGTTTCAAGCTGCCAGGTCCAGGACTCGAACCTCAGTCAGCTATGTGGAAGTGCAGTGCTTTCACCACAGAACCTGCTGACACTCCCCCCCCCACACTTGAGTCTTTTTCTACTTCTTCTCTTCTTTTCTTTTCTTTTCTTTTTTTTTTTTGTCTTAGGGTGCCTGTTCTCACCAGAGAGAGAGAGAGAGATAATAAGAGGGAAAGTCAGAAATAACCCCTAGGAGGGTGCCATTCTGAACCCCCTCTCCTCCATTCTCCTTTTCAGATTGTGGGCATGCACACACAGGTGCCTGTGTGATTTTCAAGTCCATAGGTCTAGACTGTCATGGGCCCCGTGGGAGTCCGGCACCTTAACCACTACGCCAGTGGTGGATGTTCAAAAACTCGAATGTTTTCCATATCTCTATTTAACTTTTTGAACATATGGAATAATGTCATAATAACTTTTCATGTTCTTGTCTGCTAATTTTAGCATCTGTGTCAGTTCTGGCTTGGCTTCAAATGATCGCCTCACCTCCTCATAATAAGATGGATTTCCTGCTTCTTTGCCTGATAATCTTCGCATGTCATGTTCTGAACTTCACCCTGCTGGGTTCTGCCTATTCCTATATTCCCATAAGATACTCTTGAGCCTTATCCAGGACGCAGTTAAGTTACTGGAAACAGTATGTTCCTTGCAGGGTTTGAGATTTTTTCCGTGGGCCCGGAACAGCATTATACCAAGGCCATTCATCCCTAGACTGAGCAGGCCTGTTCCTTAAGGCATCATCTTCACCACCATGCCGCCTGCAGCCCCAGCTTAGTCCTACTGATAGTCTTCTTTTTTAAGAGGTGTTTATCTTAGGGCACATGCACTTACTTGCCAGAGAGAGAGAGACACAGACACAGTGAGAGGGAAAGTGAGAAATCACCCCCTGGCAGGGGGGGTGGCCATGCCACAATCCCGTCTCCTACATTCTCCTTCTGGGCTCTTAGGCATGTACGCACACACACCCAGCATGATTTTCGAGCCACTGGGTCCGGGAATCAAACTGTGATCATCCATGTGGGAGTTCAATGATGTAAATGCTATGCCATCTGCTGACCTGTTTTTTTTTTTTTTTTTTTTTCAAGCTATGTCAGCCGCCTGACCTAGTGTAGCCTCCATCTAGGGCTGTGTTTCAGGGACCTTTGACCACCAGACTCGCACAGCTCAGTGGTGAGCTCATGGTAAAGAGAATCACAGCAAAGCATGTAAAGAGGACCAGAGGGAAAGCACCTGCGTGCAGAGTCCAGGGGTCGGGGCACACTGCTGGCTGTGTCTGCTGGTCGTCCAGGGCACTTTCTCCTGAGCTGGGGCCCACAGATACACGAGTTCTCCCAGGGAACCCTGTGCCCCGGAGTCCGAGGTTCTTGGAGGGTCTGCTCACATGAGCTCACACCTGTCCTGTGAGCAGCTGTGGCACAGGCACCACACAGGGCATCAGGCGCAGGGTGGGCAGTTCCGTGTTTGTTTTAAATAAATCTGACAGTCTTGGCACACCCTCCAGTGCTCTTGCACCAAATCATGGCATCAGCGGTGAGGTGCAGGCACTCCAACATCGAACCATGTCACTGGTCGGTGACCACATGGGCACTCTGGCACCAAATCATGGCATTGACTGGTGAGGATGTGGGCATTCCCAGGACAGATTTCAAAGTGCACCCAAGCGTCAGAATCCTGGATCCAGGTCTCCCTGCAAGTTGGCCGGGGTAGGCAAGCCAGGTCTTCTGCTTGAGCTCTTTCCGTCACTGCGAGACGTGCCTGTTCCCAACACGCACTGGAATGCTGCGGCTGCTCAGGCCCCTCTCCTCCCAGCCTGCAGTGAGGTCGCTGCCCAAGAGACTGCATTTACCTGGGGTCTCCAGCCACTCCTCCTGCACTCCCTCCCCTCCCCTGTGCATCCTGCAAATCCTGTCTTAGTGGCTCTGGTGAGTGAGCAGTCTGTCTCCAGAGCTTGGCTAGAGGTGGGCCTCTGCAGCCTGGATGGTGAGCCACCAGCATGTGTGGCTCGCCAGGGTGTCTCCTCCCCTCTAGTATCTCACTTGGGTCCTGCCTGGAACTACACAAACACTGTTTCAGATACATGCAGGAACTAGGAAACACTATCACATACATGCAGGAACTAGGAAACACTGTATCACATACATGCAGGAACTAGGAAACACTGTATCACATATAGGAACCACAGAACATTGTTTCAGATAGATACTCAACTATGGAAACACTGTAGCACATATGTAAATGAACCACAGAAAGTGTTTCAGATACATACATTTTTCTTGTTGTGGTTTCTTAATTTCTAGGGTGACTTGCCAGTTTGCATCGCTGGCGTTTTTGAATGTTATTATAGGTTGCTCATCTTTGATGTACGCTGTCAGACTTTTATATGTATTCTGTCAATGTGTCTGTTTTATCATTTGCCTTCTACATTTCAAGCTCATACAACTGGTTTTCTTTTGTTCTGTTTTATTTTGGCATTGTCTTTAACATATTTTTAAACCAACAAGAACTTCTGTGTATGTTGCGAAGTCAGGACCTTACCCTAAGTTTTTTCATAGTCATTTGTTATGACACAATTTAGTGGCTAGTCCATCTTATTTTAACTAATTTGAAAGTTGCTTAGTCCAATTAAACTCTTGTAAACTGAAGTCTATTTCTGGACTCTGTTTTATTTTATTGACTTTTACTCTATACCAGGCCAATTTACTTTAATTATCTTATCTTTTGGTATATTTTGAAATGTAATAGGTTAAACCTTGACCCTCCCATTCTTGCAAAAACTCTTTGGCTACTGTTGCACATTATAGGTAGTAAGAAAATATTGGTAATAGTAGTTATACTGTTAATACTTGGTAATCTTAGAGCTGAGAGGTGACGATGAGGACAAAGAGAGGCAATGACAATGACCCATATTGACTGAGTGCTTATTACATACCAGACCCTAAATTAAGCATCTCGCATGAGAAACACTTCTTACAGTAGCTCTGTGGGTAAGACCATTTTGATGCTCAGTTCATAAAGGAGGACGTGTCAGAGTCGTGTCCAGCTAGCCCACGGCCTGCCTGCGTCCTGTCGGTATTGCTGACTTTGCCCCTTGGCCAGGGAAATGCTTTTGGGTCAGCAGAAGTATTTGGTATTTCAGGAATCTGTGACCTTCAAGGATGTGATAGTGGACTTTACCCGGGAGGAATGGAAACAGCTGGATCCCGTGCAGAGGGATTTGTTCAGGGACGTGACGTTGGAGAACTATACACACCTGGTCTCCATAGGTAAGGCCACTGCTGTGGTCATGCCATGGCGGGTGGGGAGGAGGCGTCTCTCTGCCTAGGCGAGGTTCACTTCACTTTTATTTTTGGAGAGGTTTTTGCTCTAGGGCGTGTATGCTCTCCAGAAAGACAGAGACAGAGAGACAGAAAATGAGAAATCACCCCCCAGGGGGAATCACCACACCACAATCCCTTCTCCAGTCCTCTCTCAGGGCATGCAAGCACATGCACCTGGCATGAGTTTAAGCCACTGGGTCCAGGATTTGAATCGTGGTCAACTACATGGGAGACCAGCAACATAGCCATTATGCCAACTGCTGATCCCTCACTTCACTTTTAAGAATCAACAGTACTGGCCAGCAGGTGGTGTAGTGGTTAAGGGTGCTGGACTCCCACATGGCCGACCATGGTTTGAGTCCTGGACCTGGCAGCTTGCTCTCTTATTTTCTTTCTCTTTCTGTTTCTCTCTGGTCAAATTAAAAAATAAATAAGAAAGATAAAATAATTATAAAAAAAGAGTCAACAATTCTAAACTTTGGAAGTTTAGAAAAGTTTAGAAAGGTTTAGAACTTTACTAGCCATCAGAGGGACAAACTCATACTTTCCAGGATCCAGACAGTCCAGAAGACACAGTGGCAGGGCAGGTCCTCACACCGCACTTTCCCTAGGCAGACAGGCTCTTTCTCTTCCCCTTGAACAGGACTCCAAGTTTCCAAACCCGACGTGATCTCCCAGTTAGAGCAGGGGACGGAGCCCTGGATCCCGGAGCCAGGCACCCCAGCAGGCCCCCGTGGAGGTAAGAAATGGCGGCGAGCAGGTGCACACCCCGTGCTCTGCTGGCCAGCCTGCGGCGGGACGTGAGTCTTGGCTGCTTCCTGAGGGCACACTGGCCCTTGTGTGTCCTGCTGCTCTGCGTGTTTCTTGACTAACTGCTCTCCTCCATCATCTGCTGCGTCCTGCCAGTCCACACACCCTCCGGAACCGCCCACCTCTGCCTTCTGGCATCTGTTCCTATGGCGCCTGCCGTGTTTCTCCTTCCTCATTTGGGCCGACATTTCTCATCCTGCATTTGAACGTCCTGGCTTCCCTCCTGCTCCTGGGGTCTCCCACACTCACCTCTGCTGTCCGCTCTTTCATTTCTTCTCCTAATTCCCCACCAGCCCAGGCTGGGGGCTGGCCACGGAGCAGTGGTAAACACAGGGCTCTGTGCAGCTGACCCATGTGGGAGGGGCCCGGGTTCGTGTCCAGACACCTGCGCGTGCACCGGGCCTGTGTGAGCCCATGACGTGGCTGCTCAAGGCTGGGATGGGGTCATGGGGTCAGGCCCCTGTTGGGGTGCTGGCTCTGTCTCTCTCACTCCTGGAAGAAATAAATAAACTTAAAGGAAAGATGCCTGGACTTGGATTTGTTCCTCTCCTCTCCTTAAACCACATCTGTCATTTACAGCTGCCCGTGTGAGCGCCGAGAGGGCTAAGGAGCACAGGGTCTCAGCCAAGCCTTTCTGTGTGCTCTGTCTGAGTGGTCGTTCTTGGGTTCTTGTTTATTGCTCATTAGCGAGGAGTCCGGTTCAGGCCGACTCCCTCAGTTCCAGTCCCTCTGTCCCCGGCCACGTCTGCGGTCACTGTGTTTGTGAGCTGGCACCTGCGGTGGAGCTCCCGTCCTGACTCTTCGAGTTTGTCTGAGAAACTGAGTTAGAGCTTCTCGTGCTACTTTTGTATTTTACTTAACATTCTCCTTCCAGCTTTGTTCTCAAATAACAGGGCCGTGTGTTTGAAAACACTCAGCATTTCCTAAGTGCTTTACTTTTAGTCTCATTACATCCCCCCAGCAGCAGTTTCTCCTCTAGTCAGAGAGTACCATCATTTTCTTTTTCTTTTAGACTGGGAGACCAGACCTGAAAACTGTGTCTCAGCCCCAGAGCTGGACATTTCCGAAGCGCCATCTCCAGAGGCAGTACTGGGAAAACACAGAAAAGATGGTCCTTGGAGGTCCAGCTTCTTGGAAACTTGGGGATCTGAGGGCTTTCTCAAGAGGCAGCAGGCAAACCAGCAGACACTGCGAAGGGTTGCTGAGCCAGCTGAAAGGACAGCACCCACCGAAAGCGACGGATTTGGGAAGAGCATCAGTGTGAGCTCAAGCCTTGCAACACAGCAAGGAAAGTCCCCAAAAGAGACCTCTGTTAAAACAAGAGCCAGACAGAGTTCAAACCGAGTTAAAAAAGAGAAATCCTGTAAGTGCAACGACTGCGGGAAAGCCTTTAGTTACTGTTCGGCTCTTATCCGCCATCAGAGAACACACACCGGAGAAAAGCCCTACAAGTGTAATGAGTGTGAGAAGGCCTTCAGTCGAAGCGAGAACCTTATAAACCATCAACGAATTCATACTGGAGATAAACCGTTTAAATGTGACCAGTGTGGGAAGGGCTTCATCGAGGGGCCCTCTCTCATTCAGCATCAGAGAATCCACACTGGAGAAAAGCCCTATAAGTGTGACGAGTGTGGGAAGGCCTTCAGCCAGAGGACCCACCTTGTTCAGCATCAGCGGATCCACACTGGTGAAAAACCATATACTTGTACCGAGTGTGGGAAAGCCTTCAGCCAGAGAGGCCACTTCATGGAACACCAGAAAATTCATACCGGAGAAAAACCTTTTAAATGCGACGAATGTGATAAAACCTTTACCAGGAGCACACACCTCACCCAACATCAAAAAATCCATACCGGAGAGAAAACCTATAAGTGTAACGAGTGTGGGAAGGCCTTCAATGGGCCCTCGACCTTCATCCGCCATCACATGATCCACACTGGCGAAAAGCCCTATGAGTGCAGCGAGTGTGGGAAGGCCTTCAGCCAGCACTCGAACCTCACGCAGCATCAGAAAACACACACGGGTGAGAAGCCCTACGACTGTGCGGAATGTGGGAAGTCCTTCAGCTACTGGTCCTCCCTGGCTCAGCATCTGAAAATCCACACTGGAGAAAAGCCTTACAAATGCAACGAGTGCGGGAAGGCCTTCAGTTACTGCTCCTCCCTCACGCAGCACCGCAGAATCCACACCAGAGAAAAGCCCTTCGAGTGCAGTGAATGTGGGAAGGCTTTCAGCTACCTCTCGAACCTTCATCAGCACCAGAAAACTCACAGTCAAGAGAAAGCCTACGAGTGCAAGGAGTGTGGGAAAGCCTTCATTCGGAGTTCGTCTCTCGCCAAGCACGAAAGGATCCACACTGGGGAGAAGCCCTACCAGTGTCACGAGTGTGGGAAGACCTTCAGCTACGGCTCCTCCCTCATTCAGCACAGGAAGATCCACACCGGAGAGAGGCCTTACAAGTGTAACGAGTGCGGGAGGGCTTTCAACCAGAACATCCACCTGACGCAGCACACGAGGATTCACACAGGAGCCAAGCCTTATGCGTGTGCTGAGTGTGGCAAGGCCTTCCGGCACTGTTCGTCTCTTGCTCAGCATCAGAAAACACACACAGAAGAAAAGCCATTCCAGTGTAGCGAGTGTGACAAGGCCTTCAGCCAGAGCTCCCACCTGGCGCAGCATCAGCGCACGCACACTGGGGAGAAGCCCTACAAGTGCCGTGAATGCGACAGGTCCTTCAGCCGGAGCACACAGCTGACCGAGCACCAGAGCATGCACTCCGGGGAGAAGCCTTACAGCTGCAGCGAGCGCAGGAAGGCCTTCAGCCAGAGTGCGCACCTCGTTCAGCACCAGAGGGTCCACTTGGGGGAGAAGCCGTTCGGTTGTAGTGACTGCGGAAAGGCCTTCCGATACCGTTCTGCTCTCGACAAGCACCAGAGACTGCACCCTGGCACGACTGTCCTCGGGCCATCATGAATGCAGGGGTGCAGTCTCTGTATCTTACCCTTTGGTTACAGCCTGAAGAGTCAGTGGGTGGAGAAACTGCTTAACATTCTTTAACTTCACTGTCACACTGCAGGAAGGAAAGTATCGGGTTGAACTAACCCGACTATCTCATTAAGCAACTTGGGACTTGAGAAAACTCAGCTGGTTTAGGCTTTAGTTTTCTCTGTGAAATTTGGGATTTGAAAAAGAGATTTCACAGGTGGAGTTTTATACTCAGCTTTGTATATTCACAGTATGTCCTCACGTGGGGCCCTGTGACCCGCATCTGTGGTGTGGCATCTAGAACATGCGTGTTGTGCATGCTAGTAGAGGCACCTCTGCGTCAGGAACGGACGGGGGCCCATCGTGCTGCCGTACTGATGCACCTCGTTCAGGTAATTCGTTCCTAATAAAATAATCACGAAATACCCTTGGGTAATAATCCAGTCGCAGCCCAGCCAGCGTGTCCTGGAGTGAGAGCCAACTGCAGGTTCAGATCCAAGCTGGCTTGAAAACGCGTGTGAGATCCCAGAGTCCTCAGTAGCTGGAGGGCCGCGGCATGGCAGGGCCGTGGGCAGTGCTCGCTCTCACTCTCACACACATTCTCCAGCATAAAAGTATCCATTGCACATACTAGCCCCCCTTGGCATGAATATTAAAGCATCCTCTTATTTCCTCCTCTTGTATGCTTTTAACACTCTACAAGTTTGTCACAGCTAGAGACCCACTTCAGCTTAAACCAGGGTTTTTAATCCTAGGTGCACTCACCAGTGTCTCGGTGAGTCTGGGCTGCGGGGACAGTCAGGACAGGCCAAGTGGCTAAACAAGGAGTTGATTTCTCACCATCCGGACAGGAGCCTTGGCCGTAGGCTCTCCTTACCTCTGTCCAAGAGCAGGAACAGGCGTTCTTTCAGCCGTTTCTAGTCCTAGTTCTGTGGTCTTGGTGTCATAAGTACCTAGCCTAACACTGACATCGGCTCCTTTAGATTCACCTAAGAGGGTGGAGCAACAGGCACACCTGAAGGAGAGAGCTGGAAGGGTTAGGGTTTCATCATGAGTCCAGAAAAGCAGCAGAGGGGTTCAGGTCTAGCATCCATCAACAACTGCCCATAAATAAAATCTCCCAGGAACTACCAATAAAGCCCGCCAGGTCCCTGTGCGGCAAGGACTCTTCTCCTGTTAAGCAGAAATGCTGACCCCTTCTGCTGGTAACTGGCAAGGCCAAGCCCAATTCCACAGGCTGAAAACTCGGGCAGCTTTTCTGTTACTCTTGAGGCAGAATTCCCCTTCTTATCCAGAAGCTCTTGTTCTAAGGCTCCAGGGACTAGATGAAGCCCCCTACCTCATGGAGGGTAACAGGCTCCACTGCTGGTTAAGAATTAACCACAGCTCCCAAGCGTGTTCACAGAAACATGATGAAGGTCTGACCAACCTGGGCACTGGGGCCTACCCGAGCTGACAGTAAAATTAGCTGTCACAGCAGCAGAGTACTGCACGGTGGGGCATTGTTTAGCTAATGGGGGACATCTGGGTGACCCTCAGCCTGTCACTAACCAGCTGGGAATGACCTTTAACTGCAAGTGTCTGCAGGCGCATGCGTAAATCTGCGGAGCTGCTGGGCCCAGGGTGCAGATCTGTAGTGTCTCTGCTGTTTTCCCCTCTGCCTGCAGCGAAGGAGTCTGACCCTTCCCCAGAGACCGACCCTTAACCCGGGCTTTGTTATCCTGCGTTGGAATGCTTGCCAATCCGACGGTGAAATGTCTGTGTGGCTTTAACTTTTCTTTCTCTGAGTATAGATGCAGCTGAGTTTAGGGGATGGGTCAAATCGGGGGCTGTGGGTAAGTGGACGGTGAGGCGGGCGAGGACTTAAGTGTGTTCTAAGGGGACGGAATCTGCCTGTTAGAAGGGGAGAATCGCCTGTGGGCTAAGGTGGCAGGTGGGTTTGACGATGCTTTTAAATAGAGATTTACCTGGTCTTGCTCAGAGTGGTACTGAAGTGAGTCTCGGGACAAGAGAGCTGAGAAGCGCGAGAGAGCGAAGTTGCGGGAGGCAGACAAGCTGGTGTGTGGAGGGCCGAGTGGGCGTGAGAACGAAGGACGGAGCAGGAGAACTTTGGGAACAAGGACTGAATTCAGCCTGGGCTCAGGACAGGAGGGGAGAGCAGGCGGACGTGTGACCCGCAGGCCGGGTTCCTGCCAGCCAGGTCCCGGGCAGGATGAGACAGAACCGCTGCTGGATGATGGACCCACCGGACCGGAGTGGCCGAACACACACGGGCGGAGCATCCACGCTGCCACCCGTTGATGTCCCTCGGGTGGACAGAGACGGGAGGTAGACCCGGCGGCTGTGAGCCAGCTGCCCAGGTCGTGTGCCCAGGCAGGGCGCAGGTAGGCGGTGGTGACCGGGTGGCTTGCTCACGGCGGGCCGTGCCCCCTGGGGAGACCAGTTTAGAAAGCCGGTGAGGTACAGCGGAGGGCTTCGTGGAGAGCCCTGTGCGATGTCACCCCAGGGTCAACTAAGATCGTTCTTAAAAAGATTGTACTTTGGAAATATTCTAGCCTGGAAAAAGCGCTCCGGAGGCGCCCGGCGGCCGAAGGCAGCGAGAGTGCGCGCGGGGCCGCCGGGGGGGCTGCTTGTGCCCGGGCCCTGCGCGCTCGGGTGTCGGGGACGGTGGCTTCTGACCCGCACACACCGGCGGAGAAACCCTCCCTCGAGGGCCCGTCTGGCCACGGCCCGCACGCCAGAAACGCGACGAATACGAGGCGGGTGCAAAGCCCACGTCCCCCAAGAAACCGACGCGAGTGGGCAGGAGCTGCACTCCCGCTGTCACTTTAGAAAGAGGACCCGCGACGCAGCCTCCCCGCGCCTCCCGGGGCCCTCCGGCGCTGAGGCTGCTGGGAGCTGCGTCTGCGCACTGCGAGGCCGCGGCCCGGAGGCTCCTGGGAGTTGTAGTGCGTAGGCGCATGCGCAGGCGCGGGGTTCGCGCGGCTGTGGAAGCGGGGCGGGGCGCCCCGGGTCGGAAAGGCGGGGAGAGCGGTCGGCCCCGGCGGTGACCGCGCTCTGGGCTGTCCGGGCTGCTGGGCAGAGTAGACGCCCTGCGCGGGCCGGGCCGCC